GGTTTTCCCACATGGGTGCAGGGTTCCAGGCACTTGAGCCATCTTCCACTACTTTCCCAGGTGCATTAGCAGGGAGCTGGATCAAAGTGGAGCAGTCAGGACTTGAAGCAGTGCCCATATGGGATGCTGGCACTGCAGGCAGTAGCTTAACCTGCTATGCCAAATGCAAACCCCAAAATTCACCGTTTTTAAATGGTTCAGAGTGGGCATTTGACCTAGGGACCTGGGTCCCTAGGTTTGAGTCCACTGGTTCACTCACCAAATGCCTGCAACAGCTGGGACTGGGCCAGGTGGAAGCCCAGACCCAGGCACTCCATCTGAGTCTCCCACTTGGGTGCAGGGACCCAAGCACTTGGGCCATCATCCACTGCCTCCCAGACACATTAGCAGGGAGCTGGATTAGAAGTGCAGAGAAGGAGCCCCCGCTGTGGCGTAGTGGGCTAAGCCTCTGCCTGTGGCTATCCTATATGGCCGCCAATTCTAGTCCCGGCTGCTCTTCTTCTGATCCAGCTCTCTGCTGTGGCCTGAGAAAGCAGTAGAAGACAGTCCAAGTGCTTGGATCTCTGCACCGGTGTGGGAGACCCAGAAGAAGCTCCTGGCTCCTAGTTTTGGATTGGCCCAGTTCAGGTCATTGTAGCCATTTAGGGAGTGAACCAGCAGATGGAAGACTCTCTCTCTCTCTCTCTCTCTCTCTCTCTCTCTCTCTCTCTCTCGGTCAAAATTATTTATTTGAAAGGCAGAGAGAGTGAGAGAGCGAGCTTTCATCCACTGATTCACTCCCCACAATGGGCTGTGTTGGACCAGGCTAAAGCCAGGAGCCTGGAACTCCATCTGTTTCCTACATGGGTGGCGGGGATCCAAGAACTTGAGGCATCTTCCACTGCTTTCCCAGGTGCATTAGCAGGGAGCTGGATCAGCAGCAGAACAGCTAGGACTTGAACCAGCGCTCCCAAATGGGATGCCAACATTGCAGCAGCTTGACCCCCCTCTGCCACAACCCAGTATTTCCTATAAAGGCAGCCACACAGGATGTGACTGTTCGTGTTTGGTTTCTCACACGTCCCAGGTTCATCCAGGTTGCAGCATGGGTCAGCATCTTGCTCCTGTGTAGCTGAGTCCCAGTTCCTTGTGTGGAAGGACCCCGCTTTGCTTAACCAAATTCAGGAGCTGACTGATGCTTGGGCCCTGTCTGCCTTGTGCTGGTGTGGATGATGCACTGTGGACTTGGTGTTCAGGTCCCCATGTCAGTTCCTGCTTTCAATTCTTGTGAGTATAATATGCCTGGGTGGGGGATTGTGAGTCATCCTTAGTTTAGCTTTTTGAGGAACTGCCCCCCCCCACATCCTTGCAACATTGTTTCTATTGCTGTAGGGTAGTAGTGGGTGTGGAGTGGTATCAAACCATGCAGGATGATTTCCCTCTTGACTGATGATGTTGACTTCTGTCCTTGGGCGAAGTATTTCCTCTGGATTTCACTTGCCTTACTCTGCCCGGCACTTACCCTCCAGCCACATCCTCCTGTTCCCTGGAGTTACAGCACATTCCTACCGCAGGACATTTGCAGCCAGTCCTGCTGTCTGAAATGCTCTTCCTCCGGATTCCAGCATGGCTGAAACCATCACCACTTCCTTTTTGTGTTGTTGTTGTTAAGATTTATTTATTTATTTAAAAGGCAGAGTTAGAGAAAGAGAGATATCAAGAGAGATTAAGAGATTGATCTTCCACCTGCTGGTTCACTCTCCATATGGCCTCAATAGCTTTCAGAACTGGGCCAGGCTGAAGCCAGGAGACTTGAACTTCACCCAGGTCTCCCACGTGAGTGGCAGGGGTCTAAGCACTTGGGCCATCTTCTGCTGCTTTCCCAGCCACATCAGAAGGGAAGTGGAGCAGCAAGGACCCAAACCAATACTCCAATGTGTGATGCCGACATTGCAGGTGGTAGCTTAACCTGCTGTACCACCACACTGCCCCCCCCCCAAATCCCTTGAATCCATCAGCTTTTTCCCAGTTCACAACCCCTCCTTGGACAGCCCCAATTCTTGCTTCTCTGGACCCCAAGACCCCGAGAGACTCTAACTCCCAGGCTCAACAAATAGCTGTCCCTGCTAAGATGTGGGTCCTAGGGTCTGAGTGTACCCCCTCTCCCCAGTTGAAGCCCACAAAAACACCCAGGCCAAGGTCAGACAAGACAGGCAAGACCTCTGAGCCCCCTCCTCTGAAGCCTGGGGTGTCCCCAGTGCAACTCCAGGCAGCAGAGACAACCCCCCCGCCCCGCCCAGGATTTGCCATCTACAGATGGCTGAAACGGACCTTTGATCCATTGACCTCTGGGTTATGGGCCCAGCACACTTAAGCTGTGCCACTCTGCTCCACTGAGACGGACCTTTGAGAAAACACCAGGAGCTGGCCCAGCCCTCGCAGCTGACCTTGGTGTTGCTAGGAGCTGGCTTGGCCAGCTCAGCTGGGCCCCAGCTGGACATAAACACTTGCACTGAAGGCCAGCATCCGGCAAGGCCACCCTGTGACCCTGGCGGAGCAAGACAAAACAAGCCAACCCCGTCATCATGTCTGCACACGGGTGAGACATGAGCCCCAAAAGCAGCCAGCCCGCCTCCCAGCCCCTGGCTCCTACGAGCAACTGGGAATGTTTCACCAGTCCCAGCTCTAGTCTTGCTTCATTCCTTCATGCACATCATGAAGAACAGACACAGTAGCCTCTCTCCTTTGCTTCCTGATAGTGTCCAGGATCTGCAGGAGGAGCAGGCTGGCTGGACCAAAGCCCTTGCTGGGCTGAGGGCCGGAGGCAGGTGCTCTGCCCTGAGCTCAGTGGACAAAATGATTATTTTCTTGAATTTAATGAGACAGAAGCCAGGCACTTAATGATGTGGGGCCAAGTGTACCAGGCCGGCTTAAGCAGATTTTTAATTCTCTCATGTGTTGTTGCATTTTTATTGAATCATGTCTTAAAGAGCAAAGGCAGGGGCCAGCGCTGTGGCATAGCAGGTAAAGCTGCTGCCTGCAGTGCTGGCATCCCATATGGGCGCCAGTTCGAGTCCCAGCTGCTCCACTTCCAGTCCAGCTCCCTGCTATGATCTGGAAAAGCAGAGGAAAACGGCCCAAGTCCTTGGGCCCTGCAACCATGTGGGAGACCCAGAAGAAGCTCCTGGCTCCTGGCTTTGGATCGGCTCAGTTCCAGCTGTTGCAGCCAATTGAGGAGTGAACCAGCAGATGTAAGACCTCTCTCTGGGGCTGGCGCTGTGGTGCTGTGGGTAAAGCCACCACCTGCAGTGCTAGAATCCCATATGGGCTCCAGTACAAGTCCTGGCTGCTCCACTTCTGGTCCAGCTCTCTGCTGTGGCCTGGGAAAACAGTGGAAGATGGCACAAGTCCTTGGGCCCCTGCTCCCGTGTGGGAGATCTAGAAGGCGGCTCCTGGCTCCTGGCTTCAGATTGGCTCAGCTCCAACTGTTGTGGCCAATTGGGGAGTGAACCAGCGGATGGAAGACCTCTCTGTCTCTCTCTCTCCCTCTCTCTAACTCTGCCTTTCAGGTAAATAAGTAAATCTTAAAACAAAAGCAAAGGAGGTACTAGTGGAGGCTCACTCTCTCACTTTTATTTATTTTTTGAAAGATGAAACAAGAGAGAGAGATACCTCCCACCCCCTGGTTCACTGCAACAGCTGGAGCTGCACCAGGCCAAAACCAGGACCCAGGAACTCCACTCAGGTCTCCTACATGTGTGGCAGGGGCACCAAGCACTTGAGCCATCACTGCTGCTCCCAGGGTGCACAGGATCCAGGACTTGAACCAGGCAGTCTGATGGAAACACTCTGTGTTGCTCTCCCTTTCAAATTAATAGATGAGGCTTTTAAAGGGGGCCACCGCCACCACCTGGCCCCACACTGTGGCACAGCAGATTAAGCCAGCACCCGTGATGCCTGCCGGCATCCCATATCAAAGCACCAGTTCGACTCCTGGCTGCTCCACTTCTGATCCAGCTCCCTGCTAATGCACCTGGGAAGGCAGCAGAAGATGGCCCCAGCACCACCCAGCCACCCGGATGGGAGTTCCAGGTGAAGTTCCTGGCCCCTGGCCTCAGCTCTCCCCTGCTCCCCTCCTCTCACTAACTCTGCCTTTCAAATAAACCTTTTAAAAAAGGAAACTTTCTAACCGATACATGCATCTAATGCAGACCAAAGCCCTATTTCCCTAAACCCTCCCCAAAGACCCCTCGCAGGACCTCAGCCACATTCCTGCTGACACCCAGCCCGGGAGCCAGGGTGGGAGGGGGCTCTCAGCTGCTTCAGTGGCTCCTCAGCTTGAATCCGCCTGTGGTCTTGGCCTGGTGGGGGAGGGGTGACCCTTTTAAAGGCTCCCTGGGCAGGCCAGCACCGTGGCTCACTAGGCTAATCCTCCGCCTGTGGCGCCAGCACTCCAGGTTCTAGTCCTGGTTGCCCCTCTTCCAGGCCAGCTCTCTGCTGTGGCCCAGGAGGGCAGTGGAGGATGACCCAAGTGCTTGGGCCCCTGCACCCCATGGGAGACCAGGAGAAGTACCTGGCTCCTGGTTTCGGATTGGTGCAGCGCGCCGGCCATAGCAGCCATTTGGGGGGTGAACCAACGGAAGACCTTTCTCTCTGTCTCTCTCTCTCACTGTCTAACTCTGCCTGTCAAAAAAAAAAAAGTCCCTGGGCAGTCTATGAGCCCTGGAGTGACTCAGGAGGTGCAGCGACTCAGGAGGAGTGGCTCGTCCTGTGCAGGCAGCCTCAGGAGGCAGAGGAGGCAGAAAACTTTCAAGCACCAACACCGCGGACATTTGCAGCCTGTTTTCTCAAGCGGTTCACTCGATTAGTCCCATTTTCCAGGTGACAAAACTGAGGCTCTGAGACAACAGGTGAACTGCCTGGGTCCCTCCAGCTCCCAGGAGGCAGAGTCCCTCAGCTAGCCCCCAGAGGTGCTGGGGGACCATTGTGACAGCATCCACAGGGAAGCCCTGGGAGTCACAGTGGGCGTGGCTAGGCCACACTTGGGCAGCGTGGAAAGCACATATGAGAGAGAGGCCAGGGTCGCAGCAAGACCCAGGGTCCTGCCTATAGCCCAGCGGGAGCTGTCGGTAGCCCTGCACTATCTCTTGAGGTGAGTGCTTGTCCCTGATGAGCAGACAGGGAAACTGAGGCTGGGAGGGGTTTAGTGACTTGTTCCCTGCTTGTAATCTCAGGTATCAGAATCTCTCATAAACCGTTTTGGAGCCATCATCTTCTTTAAAAAGATGTATTTATTTAGGGGCGCTGTGGCATAGTAGGTTAAGCATCTGCCTGCGGCGCTGGCATCCCATATGGGCACTGGTTCAAGTCCCGGCTGCTCCACTTCCAGTCCAGCTCTTTGCTATGGCCTGGGAAAGCAGTCTCGTGGGAGACTGGAAGAAGATCCTGGCTCCTGGCTTCACATTGGCTCAGCTCCAGCCGTTGTAGCCATCTGGGGAGGGAACCAGCAGATGGAAGACTCTCTTCTCTCCTTCTTCCTGTCTGTAATTCTGCCTCTCAAGTAAATAAGTACATCTTTAAAAAACAAAAAAGATATATTTATTTGAAAGGCAGAGTTACCAAGAGAGAGGCAGAGACAGAGAACTTCCATCGCTGGTTCACTCCCCAAGTGGCTGCAACAGCGAGGGCTGGGCCAGGCCAAAGCCAGGAGCCAGGAGCTCCATATTGGTCACCCACATGGGTGGCAGGAGCCCAAGCAATTGGCCCATCGCCAGCTGCCTCCCAGGGGTATTAGCGGGGAGTTGGGTCGAAGTGGAGCAGCCGGGACTAGAACCAGCACCCATCTCGGGCCGTGTGTGCTAATTTCTGTGTGCTTTCCCTAGCGCAGGCGCAGACGCTGATCCAGTTTCCCACGCGATCCCCGGCTCCCAGCGCGGGCCCCGCACACAGGAAGGAGTACAAGGCGGCCTGCGCCATGGCCGCGGGCGCCCTGCCGCCATGCAGCACGTGGCTGCGGGATTTCCTCAGGGCGTCACACTTCTCCCTAGGGCCCGACCTGCGGCTGCACCGCGGCGACCTGCACTCCAGGTCGCACTACGACTTCCCGGCCTACCCGCACGCCTCCCGGGCACAGCCCAGCCCGCCGTCACCACCCTCGCCACTGCTCCACGTGGACACGCGCTGGGCGGGCGAGGTCCACGTGCCGGAGACGCGCCGCGCATTCCCGCCACCGAGCACGCCTTCCGCGCAAATGGTGCAGGAGCAGGCTCGGGAGCGTGCGCTCGCCCTGGGCGCCAGCCACGTGCGCGCTCCCGAGGGCGCGCGAGCCCGCACGGGCATCTCCACCGCGCGCGCCACCTACGGCTGGCCCGAGCCGCCCGCTAGCGCGCACGAGCAGATCCGCGGCGCGCGTCTCCTCTTCGACCGCGACTCAGTGCCGCCGGGAGACCCCGAGAAGCTGCGTTTCCCGCTCACCACGTACCGGGCGCTGTTTCCCCCCTACGACCCGTGCCTGCAGCCCCGCATGCCCTGCTACCACCTGGGTGAGCGCGGGCCCCGGCACGCACTCTGCCTTCCCCCTTACCAGAGGGACGCTTGGCCTTGTCTCGAAAAGCATTTCTGGGCCTGCGCCGTGGCTCACTAGGCTAATCCTCCTCCTTGCGGCGCCGGCACACCGGGTTCTAGTCCCGGTCGGGGCGCCGGATTCTGTCCCGGTTGCCCCTCTTCCAGGCCAGCTCTCTGCTGTGGCCAGGGAGTGCAGTGGAGGATGGCCCAAGTGTTTGGGCCCTGCACCCCATGGGAGACCAGGAGAAGCACCTGGCTCCTGCCTTCGGATCAGCGCGATGTGCCGGCCACAGCGCGCCGGCCGCGGCGACCATTGGAGGGTGAACCAACGGCAAAGGAAGACCTTTCTCTCTGTCTCTCTCTCTCTCACTGTCCACTCTGCCTGTTAAAAAATAAATAAATAAAAAGAAAAGCATTTCTGGTTGCCACCACTGTCGGGAGTGGGGTCCAAGTGCAGGCAGTGCTGCTGTGTCCTGGGGGGCGGCCCCTGCAACAGAGAATTGGCCAGTTTCAGATGGGAATCGTTCCCAACTCAGGGAGGTCCCACGCCACCCAAGCGCCCCAAGCCTCAGTCTCTCCTCATCTGTAAAGTGGGTGCAATCACAGGGCCCAGCTTCTGCATATTGTCATTTTCATGAATTTTTTTTAAATATTTATTTATTTGAAAGTCAGAGTTTCACAGAGAGAGAAGGAGAGGCAGAGAGAGAAAGAGGTCTTCCATCCGCTGGTTCACTCCCCAATTGGCCGCAACGGCCAGAGCTGTGCCGATCCGAAGCCAGGAGCTTCTTCTGGGTCTCTCATGCAGGTGCAGGCCCAAGGACTTGGGCCATCTTCCACTGTTTTCCCAGAGCATAGCAGAGAGCTGGATTGGAAGTGGAGCAGCCAGGATTCGAACCAGCGCCCATATGGGATGCCGGCGCTGCAGGTGGCGGCTTTACCCGCTCCGCCACAGCACTGGCCCCATTTTTATGAATTTCTAATGTTTCCTAAACATCAGAACACTTCCAGGCCAGGAATCAAATGCCAGGGGGCCGAAGGCCTCAAGGACTCATTCCACTGCTTGCTGTCTCTCTCTCCTCTCCCTTTGGCCCATTCCCAGGGGGCCCAAACACCCTCAAGTGGGACTACTGGAACCGAGACAAAACCACCTACCAGAGACTGTTCCAGGCCCTGCCGGGTCCCCCCGCCCTGATGTGTAAAAGGGTAAATTCAGGCTGGGCTGGGCGGCTGGGGGAGGCAGCAGTGGGGGCCGGGTGGACTGGCCTTCCTATCCTTGCCTACCCACAGGCCTCCTCCAGCGTGCAACTGGGAGACAGCAAAATCGGCTACGGACCCCTGTGTTCTGAGCAGAAAGAGTTCTACAGGCCCCAAGACCTACCCCCCGACAGGTACGGGGTGGGGGGCACTGCCACACCACCAAGATGGGACAACTGGCTTCCAGGAGCATGTGGGGAGTGCCACCTAGGGCTCCAGGCAACCCCACTTTGTGTCAGAGCTCCCACTATTGGTGCAGCCAAGGCTTGGCCAACAGGCACCCCCGCCCACCCCCCTTTCCCGTGGGCTGTGAGGGCCTGCACGGATCTTCTTGAAATCACCTGAAGGTATGACAAGGCCCAGGCGGTGGCCCACAACCAGAACGTGAGCATTCGTCCCGGAGACAGCCGCTTCCTCCGCAGGACCACCAAGGCCGAGCACTTCCGAGCCCCGGAGCCAGGTGAGCGGCGCTGCCCGCCCGGCCCCGGAGTCCGCCGCGGGGTCCGCCAGCCGCTCAGTGCCCACCATGTTGCCAGCAGAGCCTGTCGTGCTTCACCGAGATACGACTCCCGAGTCGCACATCCTGGAAGGGACCTGGCACCCTGGTCCCGGCAGCCTGGAAACCTCCACGCAGCGCTTCTATGGCCAGGTCAGTGGGCTGAGCGCAGGCCCTGAGGTGGACGCAGGAAGCTGGGCCTGGATCCGGGCAGGGCAGTCCCGTGCGGGCCTGCGCGGCACCTGCTGCCTCCCTCGCACTGGGCCCCGGGACACCAGCGCTTCCCAGGATTTCCTGTGGTCCTACAGCCGCCGCCCCCGACCCAGCCGCCCAGCCGCCACCTGAGCCATGACAGGTTGCAGGATCACGTGATCCTGGGAGACGCGAAGCTACTTGGCCACTTCTTCCAGACCACCATGGGCTCGGACTACTTGCCCTCAGATAAGGGGCGGCCAGAGAGAGCACCCAACCTCCACTTGATGAAGAGCAAAATATGGGAGAAGATCCCTGGTGAGCGCGGCCCCGCCCACCCCGGAAAGCCCCGCAGTGTTCATCTCTGACCCCGCCTCATCAGGGCTCTGGCCCCGCCTCCAACCGGTCCTGCCTCTCCCCATCACAGCTGTGGCCCCGCCCCACCCCTCACAGCTCTGAGCCCGCCCCTAGCCAGTCCAGCCCCAACAGCTCTGGGCCCACCCTCAGCCAGTCCCACCCTGGTCCATCACGGCTGTGGCCCCGCCCCATCCAGTCCCATCCCACTCCTGGCCTAACCTTGGTTCAACCTCCCAAAGGGATAAATCCTACCCCAAGAATTTTACCCAATCGTGACCATGCCTCTCACCGCACGGTGGCACCGCCCCCTTAATGGCTCCGCCTCTGACCTGGCCATAGCGGGGGGTCCTTTTCCCCCACTGCCCTTAACCAACCTTAACCCTTCCTCTTCTGTGGCTCCACCTCCTGGCCCAGCCTCCAGACTCATCCTGCTCCCCACCCCACCCAACCTGCTGCTCCTAATCCATCCTTCACCCTTGTCCCCGACCCTTAGTCTCCCACATCCCTCAACCCGGCCCCCTTCCACCCGAATTTCCAGAACCGGACTTTTTAACCACGAACCAGAAGATGATTAAGGCACACAGAGCAGCCCCAGCCTCCACCACGGAAGACATGCTGCAGCGGGTGAGGGAAGGTGGCCCCCAAGTCAGTGTAGCATTGTCTCGGGGTGACCAAACCTTCACTCAAGGTCGTAGGGAGCTGCCTTGCCCCCAGGATCCCATCAGGCTTGAGGTTCATTTAGAGTTACCTAAGATCACCCCAGCCTTGGGGTCATTCCAGGGGGCACCCCTGCTTTCTCTCCAACTTCTCGTCCAGTTCCTGGGTCAGCCCAGAGAGGGAGGGATCCCTTTTGCCCAATCCCCAGCAGAACTTGGCTGAGCCTTTCCCTGTTCTGATCCCCCCAAAGTGGTTCAGGGACCGTGGGGGTGGCCAGAGCGGGTCAGCCGCCCTCCAGGCTGCCCTGACACGCCGCCTGCCATGACCCCACAGAACAAGTACAGCCACGTGGAGCCGCCGCTGGGTGGACAGCGCTTTTTCTCAACTCAGTACACAGATGAGTTTCCCTTCAAGTACCAGGGCCCAACGGTGCTGAGACAGAGCAAGATACAAGAGAGCCATGTGCCCTTGGGCACGCCTCGCCGCTCGGGCTGCCTGGGTGAGAAGGTGGACCCTCGAGCCCCCCAGTCCCAAATGTACCCATGCCCCAGCCAGCAGTAAACGCCAGCTCAGCAGCCTCCCGCTCCTCCCTGTTAGTGAGGCACCAGACGGGAGGGGCTGGAGGAGGGCCTGCAAGGGCGAGAATGATGCCCCTGGGGAAGCCCTGCATGCCTGCACGGGTTGCTCGGTGCACTGAGACCCGTGTCACGGGGAAGAATGGAGGCTCCTGGCGCTTGATGGACACGTTCCACACCCTGCACCGTGGTCCCAGGCAAGGCGTTGGGTCTCAGTTGACTCCTCTGGGAAATGGAGCTAAGTGGTAACTCTTGGATTCGATTGTCATCTATGAGAAAGGTATGGGTGCCTCTCACTGTGTGTGGTGTGTGTTTGTGTGTGTGTGTGTGTGTGTGTGTATGGCTGGATCTGGAGGGAGAGCTTCCCTTCTGATGACGAAGGTGAGGCAGGCAGAGGAAGGAGCTCTTGGTCTAGGAGAGACCAGGTAGGGCTGAAGACGGCATCGCTGAGAAGGACCCATCGTTTTCCTCCCCCGTGGGCAGACTCAGGGAGCTGAGTGGTGCATCGACTGCTCACCAAGGTCAGAGCACCAGGCCCAGGAGCAAATCCACAAGACCCACCAGGGCATGAGCAGGTCCAATAAAAGGGGTAGGTGTTCAGGCAGCGAAAAAGCAAACAGGGTTGATAGGTGGAGGGCGGAGCAGGGCCCTGGAGCCCCTGGGTCACGGGGCTCCATGAGAACCAGGACCTTGGACAGCGTCCAGTGTTTAAGGTGTGGGATCATGTTGGGGGGGGGGGGGGGATAGGCTGGGCCTCGGTGGCCACACCTAGAGTGTGCCTCCCTGTAGACTGCTGAGCATCCAGTTACAGTGAGTGAACTCGACTCTCTAGAACCTACAGTCACACCTCCAAAGACCAAAGCCCCCAGTCCCACGTCAGTTCTTCAAGGCCAGGTCATGATTGCCACAGAAGGGGCAGCTCTGGGGACAAGCTGAGCCCGTGGTTGCTCTCATGATGTCAGCTTCTGGCCACAGAACTCCTCTTCTTGCTTCCCCTAAAGATATTTAGATGGCTTAGGTATCTGGGCCCCTGCCACCCACATGGGAGACCCAGATGGAGCATGGGAGACCCGGATGGAGCTCCCAGCTTCTGGCTTCAGCCTGGCCCAGCCCTGGCTGTTGTGGGCATTTGGGTAGTGAACCAGCAGATGGAATGTCTCCCTCTTTGTCTTTTTTTTTTTTTTACAGGCAGAGTGGACAGTGAGAGAGACAGACAGAGAGAAAGGTCTTCCTTTTCCGTTGGTTCACCCTCCAATGGCCGCCGCGGCCGGCGCTCTGTGGCCAGCGCACTGCGCTGATCCGAAGCCAGGAGCCAGGTGCTTCTCCTGGTCTCCCATGGGGTGCAGGGCCCAAGCACTTGGGCCATCCTCCACTGCTCTCCCGGGCCATAGCAGAGAGCTGGCCTGGAAGAGGGGCAACCGGGACAGAATCTGGTGCCCCATCAGGACTAGAACCCGTTGTGCCGGCGCCGCAAGGCAGAGGATTAGCCTAGTGAGCCACGGCGCCAGCCTCCCTCTTTGTCTTTCAAATACAATGAAAACAAACATTTAGAGACGTCTTGCATGAGATTCTGTTGAGGTACCATGTGATAAACTAAAGATTTCTCTATCTCGGCACTAGCAACGCCTTGCAAATCTGTCCTGTGCATTGTGGGATGGTTAGCTTCATCTCTGTCCTCCATCCCATAGACATCAGTAGCATGTCTTCCTCCTGGTTGTGACAACCAGAGTGTCTCCAGATACTGACAAATGCGCCTGAAGTGGTGGGAGGGTGTGAGGTGCTGTCCTGGTAGGAAACCGGTGATGAAGCTGGCTGACCAGCCTACTAAAACAGAAAGGCTTTGCCTTCTTGCCTTGCCTGCCAGGAAGCTGAGGAAGCTTACTTTGGTGTTCAGGTCCATGTAGCTCTGGTCACAGAATTATTTGCCCTCCTGTTTTGTCCCAGGAATGATCTAAATCTCTTAGGTATACCAGATTTTAAACAATGGGTAAGAGTTAAAAAGAGCCATATTTCAGCATATATGAGAAGTAGGAAAATTACCTTCAAAAATAAACATCAGGCCGGCGCTGCAGCTCACTAGGCTAATCCTCCGCCTGTGGCGCCAGCACTCCAGGTTCTAGTCCCCGTTGGGGTGCCAGTCCTGTCCCGGTTGCTCCTCTTCCAGTCCAGCTCTCTGCTGTGGCCTGAGAGTGCAGTGGAGGATGGCCCAAGTCCTTGGGCCCTGCACCCGCATGGGAGACCTGGCTCCTGGCTTCAGATTGGTGCAGCGCGCTGGCCGTAGCAGCCATTTGGGGGGTGAACCAACGGAAGGAAGACCTTTCTCTCTCTCTCTCACTAACTCTGCCTGTCAAAATAAATAAATAAATAAATAAATAAATAAATAAATAAATAAATAAGCAAGCATCATCCAGCCGCAGAATTCAGCCCTGTCATTCACTGGTTTTCTGTCCTTTTTTTTTTTAATATATATATATAAGGTTTTTGTTGTTTTTTTTTTTTTTTAATTTGAAAGAGTTACAGAGAGAGTTAAAGCCAGAGAGCAAGAGAGGTCTTCCATCCACTGGTTCACTCCCCAAATGGCTGAAACAGCCAGAGCTGAGCTGATCCAAAGCCAGGAGCCAGGAGCTTCTTCCAGGTCTCCCACGCAGGTGTAGGGGCCCAAACACTTAGACTATCTTGTACTACTTTCCAAGACCATAGCAGAGAACTGGATTGGAAGTGGAGCAGCCGGGGCTTTAATCCACTGTGCCACAGTGCCAGCCCCCAGCTTTCTGTTCTTGACAAGCGACTTCAAGCTCCACCCTTCATTTTTCCTTATCTGTACAATGGGCATGGCCATGGTCTCTTTCGTAGAGGGAGTACAAGGATTGTTTAAATAAAATGGGCTTTTGCGTTGGAAAGGGCCCACCATTGGCGGCAGCTCAGCGAACGCTGCCCACCTGAGCTCATACCTTTGGTCATTTCTGTTGCAAAAGAGACAGAAACCAAACTCTAGCCTGCTCAAGCCAAAAGGGATGACGACTAGGTCTCGCATCAGGATTATGTCTCCCTCTACATCTCTCACTTCTGTGTCTCCCACCCCCCAACCAAACTGGAACACAGAAAGACACCAGTGGATCCAAGGAAGGATTCCCCCTCCCCCACCATATTGGAATGCAACAAACAGGCCAAGCCATGGGCCCAGCAGAATGGGGGCCTGCGATTGGTTGGGCCGGCTCACTAGCTCGGGCTGGGTTATTTGGTTTCTCCAAATTCAGCGAGACCTTTGCGTCTGGGGCCCAACCTGGCAGGGCCCCGTCTCCTAGCAACAGACCTGCATCGATCTTGCTCCCATTACAATCTCCCTAGCAAAAATAACAGTTTCGTGGTAGGCAGGGAATGTTCGGTGTTTGGGACTAGCCCAGGACCTGCCATGTGCCCTGGTTCTCCCAGGAGCCCAATCTTACCACCTCCTCCTTCTGGATTGCAGAATTCAGCTCTGGCAAACTCACAAAACCAAGCAGAAGGCAGCCACTGCTTTCCTAAGGAGCAGAGGTAAAACCTGGTGACTTTCTTGACAGGCCTGGTTGAAGGCTTCCAGCATCCTGCGCTTTTTCTCTGAAGCCCCTGCAACCATGGGCGATACCAGATCAGAGAGCTGAGACAGAACAGACCTCAATTTATTTATTTTTTTTTATTTTTTATTTTTGACAGGCAGAGTGGACAGTGAGAGAGAGAGACAGAGAGAAAGGTCTTCCTTTGCCGTTGGTTCACCCTCCAATGGCCGCCGCGGCCGGCGCGCTGCAGCCGGCACACCGCGCTGATCCGATGGCAGGAGCCAGGAGCCAGGTGCTTTTCCTGGTCTCCCATGGGGTGCAGGGCCCAAGCACCTGGGCCATCCTCCACTGCACTCCCTGGCCACAGCAGAGAGCTGGCCAGAACAGACCTCAATTTAAAGAGCGGTTTTTCTTCCACGAAACAGATTTCTAATTTCCTGGGAAAGGCGCTGCCATGTACATCCAGATAGGTCGTGCACTGCACAAATCTAGGGAGTGCCATTCATTTGATGCAAGTTCATGAATGGGGCCAGTGTTTTGGCATAGTGAGTAGAGCCACCTGTAGTGCCAGCTTCCCATGTGGGCACTGGTTCTCGTGTCCCGGCTGCTCCACTTCTGATCCAACTCCCTGCTAATGGCCTGGGAGAAGCAGCAGAGGACGGCCCAAGTGCTTGAGCCCCTACTACTCACAAGGAGACCTGGAAGAAGCTCCTGGCTTGGCCTGGACTACTCCTGGCCAATGCAACTATCTGGGAAGTGAACCAGCAGATGGAAGATATCTCTCTCTCTCTCTCTCTCTTTCTCTCTCTCTCTCTCTGTGTGTGTGTGTGTGCACCTGCATATCTCCCTCTTTCTGTAACTCTGATTTTCTTTTCTTTTTTAAAGATTTATTTGAAAGTCAGAGTTAAACACAGAGAGAAGGAGAGGCAGAGAGAGAGAGAGAGAGAGGTCTTCCATCCACCGTTTCACTCCACAATTGGCCTCAATGGCAGGGGCTGTGCTGATCCAAAGCCAAGAGCCAGGAGCTTCTTCTAGGTCTCCCATGCAGGTACAGGGGCCCAAGGACTTGGGCCATCCTCTATTGCTTCCCAGGCCATAGCAGAGAGCTGGATCAAAGTGGAGCAGATGGGACTCGAACAGGCACCCATATGGGATGCTAGCACTGCAGGTGGCGGCTTTTAACCGCTATGCCACAGCGCCAGCCTGATTTTCAAACACAAAAATTTTTTTTTTAATTCATGAATTTGATGGTCCCGGCTCTCTCTGATCTCTTAGTAAATTCTACATGTTTTTAGATATTTATTTATTTATTTGAAAGAGTTACAGAGACAGAGATCTTCCACCCATTGGTATACTCCCAAGATGGTCCCAACAGCCAGGGCTGGGCCATGTGGGTCTCCCACATGGGTGGCAGGGGCTCAGACTCTCAGACCATCTTTGCTGCTTTCCTCAGGCCATTAGCAGGAAGCTAGATCAGAAGCGGAGCAGCTGGTACACAAATTGGTGCCCATAAGGGAGGCCAGCGTCCAGACAGTGACTTTACCTGCTACATCACAGCATTGGCTCAGCCAGTTCTACATTTTAAGTTATTTTCGCCAATACCCTTCTCTTTCCATATGCTAATTTCTAAATTATTCAAGACTGCAAGGGGTAGAACCCCATGAAAACTACTTCAAACACCTAGGAGAGGGGCTCTTGTTGCGGTGTAGTGGGTTAAGCTGCCACCTGCGACACTTGCATCCCATATGAGCACCAGTTCTAGTCCCAGCTGCTCCGCTTCCAATCCAGCTCCCTGCTAATGCCCCTGTGAAGGCAATGGAGGATGACCCAAGTGGTTGGGTCCCTGCCACCCACATGGGAATCCCAGATGGCGTTCTGGGCTCCTGGCTTCAGCCTGGTCCAGCCTAAGCTGGAGTGAGCCGGGACATAGAAAACCTCTCCCCATCCCCCTCCCTCTCTCTCTTTCAATAAATAAATAAATCTTATTTTTGAGAAAAGTATAGAAGATGAATAAAGAGAAAGTTACTGATACTGATGTTGTGGCACAGGGGGTGAAGCTGCCACCTGTGGCACTGACATCCCATGTGGGTCCTGGTTCAAGTCGTGGCTGCTCCACTTCCAGTCCAGCTCCCTGCTGATGGCCTGGGAAGGCAGCAGAGGATGGCCAAAGTCCTTGGGCCCCTGCACCCACATGGGAGACCCAGAAGAAGCTCCTGGCTCCTGGCTCTGGACCAGCCCAGCTCTGGCCCTTACAGCCATTTCGGAAGTGAACCAGCAGATGAAAGACTTTTCTCTCTGTAACTCTGACTTTCAAATAAATATTTTTTTTTAAAAAAGAGGAGATTTATTGGTTCATAATCCTGGAAAGAAAGAGGGCTCTGGCTTCAGGTGTGGCTAGATCCAGGAGCTCAACCCATGTAGTCGGGCTTGCTCTCCGATCCGCCTCTACATCCCAGTGTAGACCCCTGCAGATTGGTCTTTGGAATGACTGGGGAAGGTAGCTACGGGCAGAACGACGCCCTGGGATCACGGAGGAAGACTTATCAGCCTCCAGCTTACATCCTCATCGCCCACTCAATCATTGTGCCCAGGGAACGGGCGCCAGTAAATCCAGATCCACACGGCAGCGGGGAGCTGCTCTAGACTCCGCTCCAGCTGGGAGAGTGCAGAAGGCTCCGCAAAGGGGACGCAAGGCACTGAGGCAGAGACGGAGCAGGCAGAAACAAATGTTACTCATAGCCGGCGCCGCGGCTCACTAGGCTGATCCT